AACTACCCATAAGGCCGTAACTATCTGTAACTTACCGTAACTTCATGCCGATAACTTCCCAAGTTAACATTTTCAGCCACTCTTTATTTTCCTAATCCATCTTACGAGTCCCACACCTACTGTCAGAAAAACTGGATTGGAGGATTATCAATTCCCACACCTACTGTCAGAAAAACTGGATTGGAGGATTATCAATACCCACACCGATAGATTCACCTTGTCCTTGTGGGAGAAAGGTTGAAAACTGAAAAGCTACTTTTGGCTTCCACATCGCTTCCTTGATACCTTGACCGTCCCACTGAATAAGAATCTTGTGTTGTCTCTACTTTGCCATTCCACCCAAACTAGTTTTCCTTCAACTGCTCTGTTAATGGGCCGGCAACCTAGCGCACAAATTTTCAGGGGTAGCATAGTAGACCCAAAAATCCTATTAGTTTTCATACGCTCCAAGGAAATGGCCAAGAAAACATTACTTGAACTTTCACTATATTAACCTTTATGCCACCTCTCAAAATTATATGGTGCAAATAGTTTAAAGATTATCCATTCCTTTCTCCTCCAATTGACCAAGCATCAGCATTATCAAATCATTGAATCAAAATTTAAGATAAAAGAACTGAAACTACAGAACAAGCTCTTAAATTGAGATTAAGTTCTGATGACTAGTATCTGTTTCAGGAGGATGCTGGATTCGATATGCTTCTGAATATCATGTTGCCAAGAACTTATATGGTGGCTCACTCAAAAACTAAACCACCACTCAGCTTTGAAATGAGAACGCAAGAAACTAGCTTTTGAGCTTGAGAAAAAATCCTAATGATTGTTAAAGTGAAGGGGGGAAACTAACTCTCCAGATGTGTTAGATGGAACGTTCCTAAACAATAAAGTCAGAAGACTTTGGTCAATGGAGCCTTTAGGAGAGACCTACTCGCGCAAGTATCTATTTATTAAGTTAGTATCTGCTGGATTTTATCAACCACGTATAGCCTTCCAAAAAGTCTAGCCATGCCAAAATGTTCGCTTTTCTCAGACCCTTTAATTTCCATAATAGTCTTTAAGGCAACGAAAACCACCAACTCAATATTCTAAGATTTTAGAAGAATCTAACCTAACTATTTTCCCTTTCATTTTCTCAATAAGAAACCTTCAATTAATTTTTTAATAGTTCACAATAGTCATCCACTACTTCATCCTTCAAATTTCCTCTTAGGAAAACTTTCCACAAGCTACTACTTTCCTCCCATGCCTCAGAAACCAATGAATCTTTTTACTTTGAAAGGCCAAAATTTCTTGTGTAACTTGCCGCCAACAGGTTGACATGAACCCTAACAGAGAGACGTTTTGATACCATTACCAACTTTTATCTTACAAAAAATCTCAACTGCAGTTTCGAGCTTTTCATGATATTCCACAAAAGGCTTCATGAACTTCCTATCCTTTTAGCATCTGTGAACCACCCAAAATTATCTTTCCCAAAAATAGTATCTGGTTGGAATAGCTATGTTCTTTTATTTTCTGAAGCCCACACTTCGTAGACTTTAAATTCTTGAACTCTTTTATAATCATTCAGGCATTAATGAAAGGTGTTGTTTCTTGTTTAAAAAAAATTAAGAACAAGAAGAATAACAACAAAAAATTAAAAATAAGAATAGGAATAAACAAATAGAAGTTTACATAGATTGTATCTAGGGCATCACATGGATCATATAAAATGATAGCTAGGAAGAACAAAACATCAAAATATCTTTTCACAGGCTTCAGTGATACAAAATTGGATATCAGAATCAATCAATCAGTCTAACACAACCATCAGTGTATCAAAGCTTTTTTTAATCCTTTCATTCAGTGTGAGCTGTTCCTTTCTCTTATGGTGGATTCTATAGCAATTTTCACTTTCTTATGATGAGCTCAAGGTTGTATAGCAAAAGAGAGTGATTGCTATTCTATCACATTTAAAAGAATAGAAAAAAATATAAATACTTTTTTCTTTATTGAGGAAAACAAAGATAAATTTAATGACACTAAGCGAGATAGGGATTGGTTTATGATAAATTTTGACTGTATGCTCTCTTAGGACACTAACTCCAACTTCCTCCATGTGCATTCCCTTTCTTTATCATACATACTTGGAAGTCTCGTTAGAGCAGCTCTCCTTAGAGCTAACTTCAACTTCATCCTTGTTGTATAGATTTCAATTTAGTTAAGTTGTAATCCTATCCACAAAAATCCATGCATACATAATGTATCAGATATCTAATTGAATGAAGACCAATGAATGAAATATGAAAGATATGCTTATTCACCACCTATCAAAATCAGCATTTATTTTCAGCCCTGCAATTGCATCTTGGACATGTTGGAGCAGTTCTTCTCGTTTTACCTAAAAATGGCAGTGCAAGAGGGAAATGACTGCTCTATCCATGCTAATTTTATGCTGAAATTAATTCATGCCTTCATGACATTACCAGTGCTTCATCTTGGTATTCTGAAAATGCATTTGCCAAATTGTGTACATTCATCATTATTTCTTGATGTACTTCCTTTCCTCCTAAAAGACATAGCCTGAATATAGCCACGACAAAAGGAACTAAAGTCTAATGATATGAGTGTGGAAAAGATCATAGAAATTTCTAATATTGTTTCTTCTCGTCTGCACAAGTAACGTCAGAAAACTTTCTGAAATCAGCGGCAGGGCATAAAGAACATGTAAGGCGTAACTGAGAATGAATATTCACCCATATATCTCTAGAAGTAGTGATTCTTCTTCATCGGTAGCTTCTTCAAGAATCTGAGTCATAGAAAAGGGTTATCGTGTGGTTAAACTCCAGCCCACAAAAAGTGGTTCAGAACAAGAAATCACTCCATTCCCGGGTGAGGGGAAAGAGTACCACTACATACATACATAGAAAATGAATAGAAGCTAAAATTTTAGGCCTTTTATGCTCATCAAGTAATTACATCATTCCAACAGAGAGAGAAGTAAATGAATGCTGCTGATATATTAGGAACTACCTAGCATATTTTCGTATACCAATGTTTTGCAAGCAAAAAGGTATTGGCATGTATTCAATTCAACTCACCATAGACAACGTAATGCCTTCTAGAGCTTGGCTTGTAAGAAATACATCACGAAACGTTTTCAGCTCGCCTCCCATATCTGGGTCTACATAATAGACCTGCGCAAGATATCAAACAGCATTTCACGACGTTCAGCGCCGGGGGAGAAAACGAACAAAAAACAACTACAAATCCTTCAATCAACTCAGACACACAAAAAAGTTCAGGAAATACAAGAACGCTAATTGATATACACACCAGTGTAGGATTTTTCGGAGAATCTTTAGTTTCGTCGTTAGGCTGATCTGTCGGACTGTTTTTATCACCCTCGATTGAACCTGACGAAAATCTATCCACCTCTTTGAGCGCAACTAGCCACCTTCTCAATAACTGAACTCTTTCTACGCCTCTAGACGAAACAGAAATTTCTTCCAGCCTTTTTACAGTCTGTTTAAATCCCTGCATATTCCTTGGTCCCTGCCTCACAAATCAAACCCGGAACTTAACTCGTCAGTGAAACAGAAACTGTAACAAGTAACACACGCGGATACGAAGCGATAACTGGTAATGCGCGCAGACGTAATATAACTAAATATACAAAGCCGCACACTAAACAGAGACCAATATCGTAAGGTTCCATGCCCTAGTAATAAATGTTCCAATACTCATAACGATGTCAAGAACCAAACGCCATTTAAAACAGGGAGAATTGAGTGGAGAAGTGAGAATGAAATTACAATGCGGTCTTGGATGATCTTGGCGCCCTCCACAACAGCATTCCCTGCATGGTGAACGACGGTACCAGCATAGTTACGGACAGTGCGGGTGATATTGTCCTTCCCTCCGGCACCCGCTTCCACCGCCCTGATCACCGCTGCTCTAAACCACGACATCACCGCTCTCTCTCTCTCTCTCTCGTTCTAGAATGCAAAAACGAGATCGAATCTAAAACTCTTAACCTCGGATCAATCTTTGAACGGCTTCTTTCACAATTACAGAAACTATTTCTCCATGCCGGTGGCTGATTTTAGATTAATCCGAAAACTTGTTGAAGCAAAACGATCGAACACTACGAAATGCCACAATGGTGAAGATTTGAGAATCCAGATGGAAAAAGATCGAGATTGATACTTCCGGAAAAGACAGGTCGGGAAATGGAAGAGAAGGAAGAGGGGAAGAAGAAGTCAATAGGAACCGTGTCCCAGTTCAACGCAATTCTTCTCCGAGGCAGTGGCTGCTCGATTCTTCTGCCTCCAATTTCGCTCCAAATTTTATAACGATTACCAGAATGGGTCCCTTACGAATCAACGGTACCTCCTTAAATTGGGCCTACCTTTGTCTTGGGCCTAGTCTGAGCCCATTACTTAAAATAAGCCCTAATGGCGCCTTTAAAATAATATAATATTACTTCTAGGTATTTATTATTTATTAATTTAAATAATTTTAATTTTTTTTATAATTTTATATTTTCATATGTTAAAATTATAAATTAAAAGTTTTTATAATTTTTTCAATTTAGGTAAAAACTGTTCCTAACTTAAAAAAAAAATTCCCGAACATTTAATTTACATCTAATAAATTCTTAACATATTCAAAATCTTAAAAATTAATGAATTTGTTAGATTTAATATTAATTTTTTTACGTGTAATAAATATAAACTTTAGTTTTTTATTTATTTATTTTTTGTTTGGTATAGCAAATTATAATAAATAGGTCGCAATGAATTATTAATTTTTTTTTTTAAATGTGAGTGAATAAATTAATTTAAGTAATTAAAACTAACTATATATTTTTAGATAGTTTTATCCATTCAAGTCCAAAACGACAAATCTTGGTTCAGCTAGCCCTTTCTTAAACGTCGTCGTTTCGTCCATTTCACTCTACTGCCGGCAAGATCTGAGGCGAGGGCAATTCCGTCAAAACAGATACTTGACCGTTCAAATCATGGCAGCGTCACATTCTACGCCCGACCCCTTTCCTCTTCTAAGTTTCTAACCGTCCTGTATTCATTCTTCTCAAAGCTCGCTGCTGAACTCTTCGCTCGGGACGATCTCCGGCGGCATCGAAATGACGAATTCACCCTTCCGCCTCCCCTTCTTCCTCCTTCTCTTCGGCCTTCTCGTCGCCTCCTCCACCGCCGAGATCAAATCCCTCAAGATCTCCTCCGACAACCGCCCCATGATTCTCTTCGAGAAATTCGGGTTCACTCACGCTGGCCAGGTCTCCATTTCCGTCAAATCGGTCTTTGTTGCTACGTCGCTTGGTGAAATCGATCCTTCTCGCCTTGGATTCTTCCTGTTATCTGAAGAATCGCTTCTTCAAGTCCTCCTCGAGATCCAGCAAAATCCTCAGTTTTGCGTTCTTGATTCTCGCTACATCAATCGCCTCTTTACCTTCCGGGATCTCTCGCCGCCGCCCCAGAGCTCGTTCAGCCGTTCCTACCCCGTTACTTCCCCCAATGAATATAGCCTTTTCTTTGCCAATTGCGCTCCTGAATCCTCGGTTTCTATGCAGGTGCGGACGGAGGTTTACAATTTGGACCGCGATGGTTCGAAGGACTTTCTCTCCGCTGGCCTTACTCAGCTCCCTTCGCTGTATTTTGTGTTTTCTCTTGCGTATCTTGCCTTCTTAGGGCTTTGGGTCTACTCGTGCCTCACAAATAAGCGCAGCGTTCACAGGATCCATTTGTTGATGGGTGGATTGCTGTTGATGAAAGCGTTAAATCTCATTTGCGCTGCTGAGGATAAGCATTATGTCAAGACCACCGGGACGCCTCACGGTTGGGATGTGTTGTTTTACATCTTTCAGTTCATTCGAGTTGTTTTGCTTTTCACAGTGATTGTTTTGATCGGAACTGGGTGGTCATTTTTGAAGCCGTTCTTGCAAGAGAAGGAGAAGAAAGTGTTGATGATTGTGATCCCACTTCAAGTCTTGGCTAACGTGGCCTCGGTTGTGATCGGCGAGACTGGGCCATTCATTAAGGACTGGGTCACTTGGAATCAGGTCTTCTTGTTGGTGGATATCATATGTTGCTGTGCCATAATTTTCCCCATTGTTTGGTCCATTCGATCTCTGAGAGAGACATCAAAGACCGATGGGAAGGCTGCGAGGAATTTGGCAAAACTCACTCTTTTCAGGCAGTTCTACATTGTTGTGATTGGATATTTGTATTTCACGCGGATCGTTGTTTTCGCGCTCAAGACCATTGCAGCATACAAGTATCAGTGGGTGAGCTATGCAGCTGAGGAGATTGCAAGCCTTGTCTTTTATATGGTGATGTTCTACATGTTCAGGCCTGTGGAGAGAAATGAATACTTCATTCTCGACGAGGAAGAAGAAGAGGCTGCGGAATTGGCTCTGAGGGACGAAGAATTTGAGCTTTGAAATGGGTATTTTCTAGTTCTTATTCCCACTTTACTTCTGCCATACAAATGCAAGTGATATAGCTGATTTACAAATAGAAACTGTTGAAGTTGGGTCTGCTGCTCATTTTGCTGATGTTTTTTTTGTTTTGCCCTTCTTTCAACTCGTGTAGAAACTTGAATTTGTTCTCTGCTTTTTGTTGTTATCAACGTTTATTTTTCATGTCATGTTATTACTGACTACCGCATACCGAGTTCGCTCAAACATGAAATTTCTAAAGCCTCTTTGTTCTGTTCCTCTGTTATGATCTTGCCCTTCTTGTTCTTCTGATTGTTGGATATCATGGGTCAGCAGGCAATTTGTTTAAAATTCTGTCACGGTTGAGAATTCACTGCAAAATCAACCTTCTAGTTTGTAGTTGCTGGGGCAGTTACAGAGCCAAATGGCTTTTTTTGTTGCTTGCTGTAGGCAGTGGCATCTTTATAATCCTTAACTTGTTTCTTTAGCTTTGCTTTTGTCTTACAGTTCTATATTTGTGCTTGTTATTTCTACCTTGGCTTCTTTTTTGGTTTGAGGGGCTTTAAGGGCATGATTTGGAGTCATTTTAGAGCGGTTAAAATCATTTGTGTCATGTTCAAAATCACTCTCGAACATGACTTTAACCCCTTCGAATCAATTTAAAGTTTGATTTTCACCTTTAAACAAGATTTTCACATGTTTCGGGATAAAGTGAACATGACAAAATAAGTTTTAACCATTTCAAAGTAACTCTCAAACTAGCCCCATAGTCTCTTTCTAGTGCAGATTCTTGGAGATGTCATTGACTGTTATTGTTTAGTTGTCAATTAAAATTGGGTACGCCCCATTTTCTGAGTTTGCTTGATTATTAAGCTTAGAGCTGGGAATTGTTCTTGTTTCATCAGAAGATTGTCGGTGCGTCTATGGAGTTGGTAGCTAGAATCATTTCTGAAACATGCCGTTGAAAACCTTACTTTTTTTCATATTTTTGAGGCCCGTTTTGGATTATGTAGTTCACCATATAGAGAGGTCATATATGAGCAGGCAAGAACTCTATGTGATGAATTCATGCTTGTTGCAGTGATCCTTGATAAATTGTCTCAAATCTCATGAATTTGTTGTGCCATTTGGATCTTTTAACAGGATTTTTCAACTCTTATACTAATTCCCCTTCCAAGTTTCGATCTCGTAGGATCTTTTAACAATCTTAAAGGCCATTTGGTTTGAAAGTTTCATCGATGTCTATCGATAAAAGATGTCGGGAAACATGTCTAGAAAAACAGAGATCAACGATGACTGTGTTTGGTTGTGTCTGAGTGTTATGGCATAGACGATTTTTCGTTTGTGTATAATTGTTCTATTGCGTTCCTCGTTTTTTCTTTTCTAGGTCAATCCGGAGACAAGTTTGTTGGTAACTTCAACGAACGGAGCGATTAAGTCGACCGTAAAAATTGTTCACTAAAAATTAGACACAATGTCCATTCAAAGGTCAATATTTCTTGGATCCCCAAACTCCACTTCTTCAATTTCTGCCTTTTTACTCATAAGAGTACAAAAAAAGCACATGCAGGTTTCCTTGTGAGTTAAGACATAGCTGTATTATATCTACAGTGATTTACTTTATAGCCTCAAAAACCAAACCATTGAATTAACTTTTGCTCCAATTAACCTTTTCTTATAACAAATCTACCAAGTCAACTACTCCAATAATAATAATAATCTCTTTTATAAGATGAAATTACCATAATACCCTTTTTTATAAAAACGTATAAAATTTTCAGAAATTTTGTTTTCTATTTTCATTCTCCCTCAACACAATCATCATCGTGGAGATTCTTGCGTTTCCAAGTTGTTTTCTCGTTTCCTTTTACTTGTCATTTCGTCTTAAAAGCAAGTAGAAAACACTCTAGCTATCATCAGTAATTCATCATTTTTCGTTATTGTACGTTTTAGATTTAATGTGTTATATCTTTCCTATTTTGTTTTTGTCTTCGGTTTCAGTTTAGTTATTGTTACGTTTCTATAAAAGTTAGTCAAGCTTGAGTGCTTAGGATTATTTTCCTATCAAAACTTTATGTGTATAAAGAGAAACTATGGAGATATTTCTTCAAAGTAAAACACGATAGGAAAAAAAACGAGAATTAGAAATAGTATGAGCAAATATCAAGATTGAATAATGCGTCAAGAATGGCGAGAAGAGAACCAGTAACAAGCCATGAAAATTGAACAAATTTTTAAATTTTAATCTATAGACTTCAAAATAATAATAATTGAACAAATTTTTAAATTTTAATCTATAGACTTCAAAATAATAATAATTGAACAAATTTTTAAATTTTAATCTATAGACTTCAAAATAATAATAATAATAATAAAATAGCTGGCTAAAACTTCGCCCCATATTTGAGGGAAAAAAGAAAAAGACGTTTTGATCCATCCCTCGCATTTAAATAAGCAATGACAATTTCGTACTTTCACACGTATCCTGACATTTAATAAAAACTTATTTCCAAACATTAAACTGGTTTTTTTTTTAATTATAAAATTTTAAATCCAAATTTTAGAATTTGTCTATATTAGTGAATTATTTATTATGCTACGCTTGGGAGCCTAGATTAGGGACGACCTATACTTCAATTGTGTACATACCTTCAATCTCGAGATGACCTTAGAAGAAAAACGTCATCTCCACTTCATATTTACTAAATTCAATTTATTATGCTTAAAAGGATCAAAACACTAGATGTTCGTTAAAACTAGGAGGGGATATACTAAATATATATCTCTTCCTCTCTGTAATCTACGAGATCGAGTTTGTAATCTTGTTTTATTTATTTTTTATTATTTATATACACAAAACCAACCTAAAGTTTAAAACATAGATAAAATGTAGATGTGGATGAAAATGTATGAAAATTATAAAAATAACTTAATAAATAAATATTTATCATGGTTTATATTATATTCAAATTAGTACCTTTTGCTGTTTAATAAACGTGGGCTAAGTTTATTGGACCCGTTGGATTTGACCAAAAACACAAAAAAAACGTGGAATGGGGTACTGAACGCGCCATGACAAGGCACCCATGGTCCAAATAGCACGCGGAAAGAACCAGACCGTAGAAGCGTGACCATTGGAAGACTTCCACCTTCGGAAATTGCAATTATTAAGGATAGGCCAATATTCTTTTATTTTTAATTCAATTTATAAATTGTGCGGTAAAATTATAATTTATATCACTAAATAATAAAATAGTTCAATTAATCAAAATATTGTATTTTGAATTAAAAAAAATACTTCTATTAATTTTAAATAAAAACTATTAATATTTTATTTAGGAGAGTTTTAAAAATACATTTAAACCCTTAAAAATACTTAATAAATATCCTTAAATTCATATTTTTAAAACTTTTTATTTTTATTTTTTAATTGTTACGGGCTATGATATAGACAAGACGTTGTATTATATTTAAAAAAAATGTCCATTAATTTGCAAAAGTAATGTTAATAAACTTTTAAATAATATTATTTTTTTAAATACCGGTAATAGAGAAAAATGATTTATGAGGGTAAATAGATAATTTTTGTTCGTCTATTAACAATAAAAACTTTTTATTTTTATAGGGTGTTAATACTATTTTTTAAAAAAATTAAAAATTTATTGTCGTGATCTAATGATAAATATTTTTTAAATAATTTTTAATTAAAAATGATGGATAAAACTTTAAAAAAAAATAAAAGTCTAGTATTATTTAAACTATTAAAAATTTATAAGTATTTTTTCTAAAACAAAACACAAAATTTAAAAATATTTTTATTAATTTATGTTAATAATCATTAATATAAGTTTATTCGATGAAACTGAAAAACCACCCAATATTACAAATTAAAATATATATTTAGTGTGCATTTGACATGCCATTTGGAAAAAGAAAAAAAAAACGTTTTAAAGTGAATAATAAGCCTTTAAAAAAATTAATTAAGTGTTTAATTATAAGACTACTATAAAATCAATGGGTGTATTTAATCGACGTATTAATTTATTTCTTAAAAAGCATATGAATTTATTTTTTAAAATTAAAATATTTTTTCATGGATGAAATTACATGAGCATTTTAATTATCAACAAAATCATCAATAATAATAAATTGTAATTCATAATTATTTTATTTATTAAAAATGTTATATCACGTCCAACTGCCAATAACACGAACACAAAAATATTATTAAAAATGATATATTATTTAATATTTATTTTATGTATCCTACGTCATTATTTATGATAAATACGGCCGACCATGTAGAGTATGATAATATTAAATAATTATTTTAAAAAATATATATATTAATATAAACTTAGGAGTAGGTATAATTTTTTTCTCAACCAATACAATAGCATGATCATTACAAAAAATATATATATATATTTGGCAAGTAATTTTTATTTTTTAGTTTTAAATATAATTAATAAATGTTAGATAAATATGTATTTATTATTTAAAAAATTTAAGGATTAAATAAGTATTTATTTATTTAACCTTCCAAATATAAAATATTTGAAAAATTAATATATTATTTAGCGCGAAAAGTTTAATAAAAAAAGGGGGAAAAAATCACCTCTGACCGGAAGTCTCCCACCGTACCGGCGGGACCGTTGGTCAGTCTCTGTCAAAGTCAGAATCATGGCATGTGCAGGACCCATTATAATCACAGCCGTTCCTCATCGCCATATCCAAACTCCGATTCCTTTTCATTTCCCTCCAATGGCGAGGGCCTTCTTGGGCTCCACGCCTTCTTCCTCTCTACTCACCACTTCACGTCTCTCTTCCTTCACCCCATCACTCATAAACAATCAACGACGCCGCTCCCTTCGTCTCACCACCGCTGCCGTCGTCGCTATGTCGGAGTTTCCGTCGGAGAAGCCGATTCAACCTCACCCGTCGCTGGAGGTCATTGGTGGAGGCTGTGATCGGTTCCTCCCGGCTTTAAAGGACTTGAATCTCCCTTATAAGCCTTTTCCTGTAATTGGGTGGAATCGCCATTTGGAGACCATTTTTGCTTCCTTCTATAGGAGTTGCCCCGATGTTAGGTTCCGCCGGGAGTGTCTGCGTGCGGCGGATAACGGCACCGTTGCTCTCGACTGGGTTGTCGGTGACGATCTCCGTCTGCCTATTGATGCACCTGTTCTTATTCTTCTGGTTTGTGCTTACTGATTCTTGGTTTCCTGAAGAATTATGAATTAAATACGATGCCAAAGATGTTCCGATACCAAATGATATGAACCCTAGTGAATTCGAACTCTGTAAATCCCAATTCACAATTGAGCTTGAATTTGTAGTCTGATCCTTGAATGGGATTGAATTCTTTGAAATTGCTATATAGTTTTACTGTATTTGTTTTGAAATTTGGATCCTAACAGGTCCTTGATTCATATCAATTGATTTCATATTGGTTTCTTGAACCTCTGCAGCCTGGTTTAACAGGAGGGAGTCAGGATTCTTATGTAAGACACATGTTGGTTAGAGCCAGAGATCGTGGGTGGAGGGCTGTAGTTTTCAACAGCCGTGGATGTGGGAATAGCCCTGTTACAACTCCCCAGGTATTCAATTTTTTGTGTTCTTCATGTTTGATTGGAGTATCAAATTGGCTTGTAGATTCATTTTAACAACACTGATGTATGCAGTTCTATTCGGCTTCATTTTTAGGAGATATGCGTGAAGTAGTTGAGCATGTTACTAAAAGATATCCCAAGGCTAATGTGTATGCTGTTGGCTGGTCTCTTGGTGGTAACATTCTTGTTAATTATCTGGGACAGGTAAATCTAAAACAATGCATATTGATATCCATCATTCTCCTTACTCTACTTATTGGTTGCCTCCTAAAATCTCATGGAATGAAGGGAATTGGGTACGGAAATTGTGAGAAAAAAACGCTTTGGCATTGTGTTTGTCGTGATGGGACTATTCATTTTGATCGAAGGGACAATATTACATCACTTTAGATGATTTGTTGTAAGAAGGGAAAAAGTTGGGGTCGCGCCTAACTTCACTCCTTTGTTTTCCATTTCAAAACATAAGATGTTTCGACTATGGTAGACGTTTCAACCTAAAATCTAATGGAGTGAAGGGCATTAGGTACTGAAATTGCGAGGAGAAACGCTTTGTCATTGTGTTTGTTGTGATGGGACTATTCAACGAAAAAATAAACAAATATTAACTTCGTTGGCTTATGTTCAAAGGGACAATATTACATCATTCTAGATGATCTGTTGTAACAATGGAAGAAGTCGGGGCCGTGCTTAACTTCACCCCTTAGTTTTCCATTTCAAAACATAAGACGTTTCAACCTAAAATCTCATGAAATGAAGGGAATTGGGTACTGAAATTGTGAGAAAAAACGCTTTGACACTGTGTTTGTCGTGATGGAACAATCCAATAAAAATAGAAAAAAATCTTGTTAGCTTATGTTCAGAGTAGACAATATTATACCACTTTGGAAGATCTATTGTAATAATGGAAGAAGTTGGGGCCGTGCCTAACTTCACCCCTTTGTTTTCCATTTTAAAACGTAAGACGTTTCAACTATGATATCTGTTACGGCATTTCAAGATTTGTAACAATACACCTATTCTTTTGAAGATTACATTGTTGAATAACATATTTGGCAATAACTCGAAGTTGAATGCTTGAGAGTTTGGTGATCTGGGGATCCTCTTAACTCTACCAGGGATAAGAACAAAATCTCTCTGTACAATATTTATTCCTATGTCCATCTTTATCTCTTACATATCACCTCTACTTCTTCATTGCAGGATTCTTTGTCCTGTCCATTGTCTGGTGCAGTGTCGTTGTGTAATCCATTCGATTTAGTAGTAGCAGATGAGGACTTCCGGAAGGGCTTCAACAATGTTTATGACAAAGCGCTCGCTCGAGCTTTACGTCGAATCTTCAGCAAGTAATCCTCTTTTGTCTGGCTGTTTCATTTTGTTAATCATGTCATAATCTGATACTGAAAAATCCATGGAGCCTTAGATTGCATCACCTCACCAGATTCCCCTGAGATTGCAGGCATGCTGATCTCTTCAATGATATGCCTGGTGAATTCAATATTCCTTTGGCAGCCAATGCTAGAACTGTTAGAGAATATGATGATGCCTTAACTCGCGGTATTCTTTCTCTTAATTTTCGGTTGTTTCGTTCGAAAGACATTGTCGATATAAGCCATTTCTTCTGCTTAGAGCTTTTGTTTTGTCTTTGAATATCTTTCAGTTTCATTTGGTTTCAACTCTGTTGATGAATACTACTCAAAGTCTAGCAGTTCAAAATTCATAAAGGATGTCAAAATTCCTTTGCTTTGCATCCAGGTACACTTTTTTTTAAATGCTAGCTTGTCTCACTGTTCTCTTAGAACTCAAGAGTGCTGTTAAACTCTTTTAAGCCATAATTTATAAGGAAACAATATATAAGGAAACAATATAATACGGTGCTACCGCCAGTAGATATTGTCATCTTTGGACTTTCTCTTTCGGACTTTCCTCAAGATTTTTAAAACGCGTTTGTTAGGGAGAGGTTTAGCATTCCCCCTCTCCATCCAACGTGGGTTCTCACAATCCACTTCTTGTGGGGACCCAGCATCCTCGCTAGCACACCGCCTGATATATGACTATGATACCATTTGTAACAGCCCAAGTCCACCTCTAGCAAATATTGTCTTCTTTGGGCTTTCCCTTTCAGGCTTCCCCTCAAAGTTTTTAAAACCGTGAGGCTAACTGCAATATGTTACAGGTCAGAGCAGACAATGTCTACTAGCACTAGGCTTAAACAGTTATTGTTAATTAGGAAGAGGATGAGTCCTTCGAAAACATAAACACTCTCGCGATAATTGGTTTAGGGGACAGTATAGATTCTTTGAGCACTCGGTTTAACTTAAAGAATGTATTGGGCAACTGTAGCTAAGAACATTGTTCTCTCACAGATATTTTTGGACATTCTATACAATATTGATCTTTTAGTGTTAAGGAGCAAGATTTCTGGTTAAAAGTTGGTATATAACTTGCTTTGCAGGCAGCAAATGATCCAATTGCTCCAGACAGAGGAGTCCCCCGTGAAGACATAAAGGTTCACACAGCTATCTTTGAGTTCTTGAGTTATCTGTTAAACAACATAAAAAAAATTTGGACCCATTTGATTCACGTGTTGAAAGCTTATAAACACTACTTCCAAACCAACCAAATCTACATTTGAATATTTCAAGATCGAAACCAAATCTTAATATATTATCAAAGCTGTAGGTTCTATGTTCATATCTGTATTGTCCTCTTTGCGCTTTCCCTTTCGAACTTCCCCTTGAGGCTTTAAAACGCGTCTTCCAGGAGAAGGTTTCCACACTCTTATAAATGGTGGTTTGTTCAACACCCCAATCAATGTGGGACATCACAATCCACCCCGTTCAGGGCCCAGTGTCCTCGCTGGCACTCTTTCCTTCCTCCAATCAACGTGGGACTGCCCCTAAATCCACCCCCTTTGGTGCCCAGCGTCCTTACTGGCACACTGTCTCGTGTCTACCCTCCTTCGGGGAACAGCGAGAAGGCTGACACATCGTCGGGTGTCTGGTCCCCGAAGGGGATGGATTGTGATGTTCCACATTGGTTGGGGAGGAGAACAAACCACCATTTATAAGGGTGTGGAAACCTTCTTCTAGCAGACGCATTTTAAAGCCTTGAGGGAAAACTCGAAAGGAAAAGCCCATAGAGGACAATATTTGCTAGCGGTGGATCTGGGCCGTTACAATATCTTTATAATGTTACGAGCAATCCATTCTCATTACAAATATACATTTTATCAAATGTGATCATTGTTGCAGGAAAATCCGAACTGCTTGTTAATCGTGACACCCAAAGGTGGGCATCTAGGGTGGGTTGCAGGCCCCAGTGCTCCCCTTGGAAATCCATGGACTGATCCTTTCGTAATCGATTTCCTCGTGTATTTGGAAAGCCAAGAATCAAAAGCTTCTGCATCTTCTACAGATTTAACAGCTGCTGAGACGTTGGTATAGACATTGATGACGATATCTATGTGCACGGATAGAACAATCGAAAATAGAGATAAGCTATCCACCTTAGTTGATTGTTAGATGATTAAACATAATCTCATGTATTGATTAATAATAGTTTATATACCAAGCAATGTCGTTATGAACTCATGGACTCGAGCATAACTAAAAACTACTTTCGGAGTATCAATCTGAACAAACAAATCTGAGCATCAACTCAATTGATTATACTCGAACCATTTCATTTTCAAGTATTGTCAACCCAAACATAGTTTAATAGATAACGATAATACTTCAACAAGTAGTAGAAACACGCCCAAACTACGAAAATTAGTAATATACGAGAAAGACCTACACATCATAATATGTTACCGGGCCAACACGAACACAATTCAAACCGTCATTAGAAGCGATAGGCGTGGAGCTGACGAATGTTGATAGGAGTGCTAATCGTTTCATCTCCATCAAGAAGCTCTTTAGCAATGATGATATTAGCAGCTTCGGTTGGATGATAAGCATCCCAAAACACATATTTTGATCGATCATCACACAAAAAAGAACTTGATGATCTGTTTTGGTCTTGGCTTTGGCCCTTGTTGTAGCATATGAAGGGAGGAAAGTATGCACCACAGCATGGCTGCTTTGCATTCACAAACCCTATCACGTTTCCAAATCAAATATTTCACGAACAGTTCATCGTTCACTTCAATCTTAAAACTCGTATTTAAAGGTCAATCCGAACATTTTACGAGAATTTGTCATCTTTGAGCTTTCCCTTTCGAGCTTTCTATTTTAAAAATGCGTTTGTTAGGGAGAGGTTTTCACTTTTATAAAAAATGCTTCGTTCTCCTCCCCTATATAGAGATTCGGATGAAGCCGAACTCAAAACCATAAGGACTAAAACGATAACTCAACCTACAATTTTCAACTCGAAAATAAAACCCGAGTAAAAGACAGAGATCGAAAGCTAACCATATTGTCGATAATTGACAATAATCTTCATGAAGACAGCATAGGAATTGGCATAGACAAACATGGTTTTGGGACCAAACTCTTGATTCAATTCACCCACCAATCCACTTAGCCTAACATTGTAAGCTTCAATCACTTCATTCACTTCTTCAGAGCATTTCTCACCTCTTACAAACTGCACTGCCCTTACAAATGGAATGCATCCAAGGGGACCAACTCCAACCACCACGAACTTCCGCGCTCCCAGCTCGTGCAGTTCCTTCATCGATCGTAAATTCCCGAGTCAAATATCGAGATTCACAAGCCAAAAATCGTATTAAAAGACGACCCATTTGGGTGATTTGCTACCAACTCGATCGATAAAGAATCTTGAACTGTTCTTATTTTATCGTACCTTAAGGTGTATCGTTAAATTGGAGATCATATAATCCAAGTAATCGCTCGGGGCTACCTTGTTTGATCCGAAAAATGGAATGGAGGGTTGGAAATAGTTGATGATATCATTAGATCCAAATGTTAAAGAGAAAATTGCTTCCTTCAAAAGCTTCATTGTTTCATTCTCTCCCTTTACTTTCACTATGTAATCTCTGCTCTCCTTAAAATGCTTCACTTGCTCCCTTAGTGGAATCCTCCCCAACTGTTCATACAAATACGCTAGTATTAGCCTAAATTCACGTCGGGTATTTAAAAGATTCTGTGACTCAAAAATCCCGAACAACTCAACCCAGCTCGTACGAGCTGAATTGGGTCGAATTGAAATAAATGGAAGTTGTATGGGTTGAATTGGCTATGACCCGACTAACCCACTTCAAATATTTTGACCTGGTCCGAACAATTGAATTAAATCTAAAAACGACCCAATCTGACTATTCTTTAACAGTATAGTCTCGAAGATTTAAAAAAATGTAATTCAAATTAAAAACGACTTAAAAGAATTAAAATTATAATAATAATAATATAATTTTACAAGTATATACTAAGATTAAAAAATTAATATTTGAGTTTAAAAAAATAGTTTCCATATTTAATTAAATAAGAAAAATAATTCATTACTTACAAATAAGAACCCAGTTTCATCCAAGATGCCAGCAGCTCCAGAAGCATAGTTTATTCCTGTAAATATTGTGTCGGATTCTGTATTTGGAGCTAGAAACGGTGGCGGAAATGATTCCGCTCCGAGATATTCTCCTGATTCAAACACGAGTATAGCTCAACGGTAATTAAAATTTGGTAACGCTTTAACATGAACAATGTTCGAGTTGGATGCATTACCGATAATATCTGAAATAGTTCGACCGTTAGTGAACCTTCCCGTGGGTTGGCCACCGGAGGGCTTGAAATCGATACCATACGGTGGCGAATCAGCTTTGGAAAGAGTGAAAATATAATCGTTGTTCCCCGCGTCAACGAGCGAGTCTCCAAACACGAATGTCGTGAAACAAAGACCGGGAAAGAAGTTGATCGAGAAAACGACGAATATCGTAATATATGAATATTTAGAAACCGTCATTTTTCTCGAACTCGAACACTCTCCGACACTTGTGGGCTTGAGCTCGAGCTTGTGCAAAGGGTTAAATAGTAATGTGAGCTCAAGAAGTTGACGGTTTCATGCAAAGAGAAGCATAGTATGTGCATGTTCTGCTACTGCAACTGTGGTTTGACGTGGTTTTTTTTAAATTTATTATTATTATTTATTATGAGAAACAATTTTTTAGTATAATATTTTAAAAATTGAAGGACTAATATGTAAATAGTAAATAAAATTTAGGGGATAAAAATGAAAAAAAAAATTAAATAAAACCCTTTCTTTGATAAAAACACGGGATGATAATTTTATATTATTAAATATATGAGATTGAATATAAAATTATATTTTTTGAACGTAAACATCTGGAGAGATTAATATTAGAATAATTTTTAAGATCTCACGTGGGAGAGGGAAACCAAATATTCATTATAAATGTGTGAAAATTTCTGTCTAATACTTGTAAGGATTCGAAATTTTCTACTATTAAAGTCGCTACTGTATACGTACCATAAACATTGAATGCGGAAAACTTCATTTAAATTCTATAAAACATAACATTTATCTTAAAACACAGCTATAGGCTTACATCATCGCAACTCGAGACCATGACACATAAGAGAGTGATATTTAGTAAACATTGAATGCGAAAAACTTCATTTAAATTTCATAGAACATAATATTTATCTTAAAACACAGTCATGGACTTACGTCATCGCAACTCGAGACCATGACACATAGGAGAGTGGTATTTATTTTCTTACACTTAAGCTAGAATATGATGAGTCCATGACCGTGTCTTAAGATAAAGGTTATGTTTTATGGAATTTAAATAAAGTTCTCCGCTTTTTATGTTTATGGTACGTATACTGCAGCGACCTTAAATTAAGTAAAAAATTTCGAGCTATTACGATACCAATTTTAAAACCAAATATTATAATTTTTAATATAAAGTTAAATTGATTAAAATAGAAATTATAGAAGTGGATTGAAATGGTTTTTTAAAAAAAAAATTAAAATAGAGACAAAAATAGGAAAGATTTAAATAAAAAAAAATGGAATTAAGCGAAAAAGAAATTGATATTAATTAAGAAAAAGAGAAGGAAAAAGATATAAATAGGAAAGGACGAGAAAATTTACCAAATTAAACGGAGAAGAAATAATGACCAAACAAAAGTGAAAAATTATGGAGAAATTGAGATACAAACACGCCTCTCCGCTCCTCTCATTCCCTCTCGTTCCGCTGCTCTGATCTGAGGGCAGCACCTTCCCTGCAATACAAAATCCCTAAAACCTATTCTTCCATCGCCGCCCTCGACTCCTCCTCCTCCAGATGTCGCCGCCTTCAGTTCTTCCTCCTCTCTTTCTCTGCATCATTCTCCTCTTCATCCCGATCGTCTCGCCGGAGACCAAAATATCCCATTCCAGTGGAAGAAATAGACCGACTGCGACGGAAAATCCCTCGCCGGAGAACCAACAGTCCCCTTCCGATGGCGCGACGGAGAATCCGATGCCGCGTAAACACTCCAAGCCTTTATACGCTCGCGAATTTCTGACAGCGCATAACAAAGTGAGGATGAACGTGACGCATCCTGTGTTAAGTTGGGACAGAGGATTGGCTCGATACGCGCGTCGGTGGGGAACGAAGCGTACTGTTGATTGCAAAATGGTTCACTCGTATGGTCCGTACGGAGAGAATTTGTTTTGGGGAGCGCTTGACCACTGGACGCCGACAGACGCGGTGGAATCGTGGTCGAAAGAGAGGAGACATTACGACGCTCAAACAAATTCCTGCGTCGAGGGTGAAATGTGCGGCCATTACACGCAGGTCATTTGGAGAGATACTACCAAACTTGGATGCACTCGCGTCAGGTGCCAAATTGGTGGCGTTTTGATCATCTGTGAGTACGATCCCCCAGGAAATTATGTTAATGAGACCCCCTTCGATACCGTAAATGCCACTGCCACACCCCCAGCCGCTACACCCACACCCTCACCCGCTACACCCACACCCACACCGAGACCCGGTAAACCCACAGCCACAGCCACAGCCACAGCCACAGCCACAGCCGGAACAGCCGGTACAGCCACAGCCACAGCCACAGCCACAGCCGGAACAGCCGGTACAGCCACAGCCACCGCCAATGGCGGAGGCGGAACCGTCGCCGTTGATCTGAAATCGAAAGTACCTGAACCGTCACCGCCGTCTAACGAACAAATCATCTCGCCTCACCGGAAACTCATCGGTTGATCTTCGATCTTCGATCTTCGAAACGATTGGAGATTGGTATGGGAAGGCCGAACTCCTGAGAATCGGATAGGAAAGGTATTTAGGTTTTCTTCAATCGATTTTGCTTTTTCATTCTTTTTTCCAGAGAGCGTCTAGTACAAATTCTTTTTGTTTTTGTTTTTTTTTTGTAACATTCATTACTCAACGCCTCAAAAAATAAGGCATAATTCTGTAACTAAAATTGTTCTTCACTAAAATATTATTAAATATCATGTCATTATTTTTTTAATATTTTGTTCTTAATTTTATTTTTTCTGTAAATATTTTTCAAATTTTGAAAATAGGAAGTAAAAAAATGATTGTAAATTAATTTCGAAGAGTTATTTAGTAATAAAAATTTGCTACAATATATTTTCTAAAAAATTATCAATTTCTTATTGTATGGATATTTGATAATTATTGAAGACATAAAAGATTATTTATTTATTTATTTATTTTTATGAATTTATTTGAAGGGAGAATTTTGTTAAATAATTAAAATTGATTTTTTTTTTATAAAAAAAAAAAAACTAAAAAATTTGTTCGAACTTGGAACGGTGAACAACAGCCACCGCCCCGACACCTCAGTGAACGCACCATAAACTCCGATTTTCTCTCCTTTTCTTTGCGAAAAAATGACAAACCTCAATCTGCTCCGTAAGGCGCTTGGATCGCACTTCACTTCTCGTTCAGCAACGCCAAATCATGGCCTTCCTGTGTTTTTCCGCCAATCTTCAAGATTCTTCTCGACGGAAGGGGAACAATCACCTCCTGAATCGTCCGCCAATTCTTTTCTTGATACATCGGAAACAGCAGGTATGAAGCTCGTTCCTACGTCTTCGCCGAGTCTGGACGATGTTCTCATGTCGTGTGTTATGTTGGGAGAGGTTTAGGGTTTATAGATTGTGGCTGGTTAGAATTTTGGGAACAATTTTCTTTCTCGTTTATTTGAGCTTCTGGTAAATAAGTTTGGCCGATTGTACTAATCGATTCAGGTTTTTTTGATTCTGTAAGTTTGAGTAATTTGGAATGCATTAATCGCTACGAAAGCCTTTTGGTGTCCTTACTGCTATACTGTTATCATTTAGGTAGCTGATTTTTTGTCTGATTCTACGTAGTGCAATGCCTAATGAGTTTTTTGTTACACTCTTATCAGGTTTGGTGTATGGAAAATTGTATGGTATCACAAGGAATGTTCTAAAGACAGACATAGTCAATTTGCTTGAAGGATGTAATTTGAGTTTGGATGATGTCAAAGTTGAATACAACCGGAGTTTCACGCCAACCTCTATGTAATGTTCTTCTCTTGCATATTTTGAATATAGATGCTTTCTGTATTAGGTTTACCATCGTTGTTATGGTTCTATTCCTACTGCATCTTGGAAGCTAAAATAATCAAAGAATATCTAATTGCCCTTTTGATCCTTAAAGCATTAATACAAATGCAGTCCTTAAGCCTGGATTATTAGCTACATGTTAATCTATGGAATATGCGTTCAATTAAGCGCCTTGTACCTTTCTGTAAAAGGGTTAGCCTGGATTATTAGCTTCATGTTAATCTATGGAATATGCGTTCAATTAAGCGCGTTGTACCTTTCTGTAAGAGGGTTATATTTCTAAGGAGAAACCCAATTGTGTAACGTTTATGGATGTTGAGTAACACTGGTGTTCGAGGTTGGTTTTCGTTAAATATTTATGGATGTTGTAATCAGGATGATGCAATTCCCCTCCTGGAAGGCCTATGATAATGCTTTTCGAGTGATTGGAAGAAGAGGTCGCATGTACAGATTGGAGCGGGTGATGTTCTGATGGATATCTAACAAAAAATAGATTTATTTTTTTGTCTTGTTTTAAAATTTAGAAATCTATTAACTTCTATTCTAAATTTCAGGCTGATCGTTCGCAGTGGGACCTTCTTTCACCTTACAATGGAAAAATTGTAATGCCATTTTTTTAAAATTATGAACTTATTGTCCATTGAGAAATCTCTTTACCATTCATATTCTTGTTTTTGTTATTGGCATCTTTGATCAGAAAGCTATCCATTCTACTTTATATTTGTTTATCTAATATCATATGCTCGAATGGCATGGTTTCGAGGATCAAGCATACATATCAATAAGTTCTCTGCTATTCTACTGCATGATGGTTAATTTCAATGGATTGTTCCTTACATCTCCAAATTTAAAACTGATTATAGAGAAACTACTTTTTCATGTTAAACTGTTTAGAAGGGAGTAAGAAAAATGTTAGCCAAGGTCCTTGGTCTGGATCCCCCTTTAGTAGCTTCTCGAGGATATAAAACTGTTGTAACGACTTCAACTTAGAAGATTAAGGGTTTTTATTGTAAGATCGTTTATAATGAAAAGATAACATGCACTGATGTGATTAGATTTTCAATTGAAACTTGATATTGCAAGATTAAGAATTGGCTATCTTTCTGGTCGTAAGTTTGTTGTTAGTAAAATCATGTGCAACTTATTGTGCAGACTGCAGTTAATAGGTGTCTCATATTAAATTTAAGCCTCTCAACATTGGATTGGTTTGGACTTTTTTCCTGTGGGATTAAATTTTCTTTGTACATACAGATCCTTCTGCAAGGAATACCTCGAAATGCAGCGCTAGATGACGTGGAGCGCTTCTTATCTGGCTGTGACTATGATGCAACCTCAATCAATATGTTTTTCAGGTAGAGATCAATTATTTGTACCAAAGTTTCATACATCAATGAAAAAAAGTAATAATAGTTTTTTTTTAAAAAAAAAAGTTCAGAATTAATATTGTAGTACTTGTAGGAATTCTGTGTGATGCATCATTTGTACATCATTGCAGGGCATCCATTCCAGAGCCCATCAGAATGGCAACAGTGCTGTTCCCTTCACCAACACAAGCAATGCATGCATTTCTTACTAAGAACAGAGGCTTTTGTCTGAACAACCAAATTTTGATGCGGGTTCTCCAATAACTAGTTACTGTTGTCATCTATATTCCACACATTTTTCGTTGGCTTGGTGTCTGGGCGTTTTGAAGTAGTCGTATGAGTTACGACTTGCATCTTCATATCTCAAGCCTCAAGTTATCTGAGTCACATGCATCATCCAAAGTGACCTGAATTCTTTCTTTTTTCACAAATTAGCAGCTTGTTTGTGCTAAAGAACTGCATTTGTAAGGAAGGATGGATTACATAAAAATAAGGTTGTCGAATTATCGTGAAACTAGGCTGTTTTTGTTGTGTGACTGCTAGTCAACCCTTTTCACTCTGGCCTTCGACAATTTCAAAATTGTCAAATAGATTGCTGAACTTTTAATTATGTATCTAACAAGTTTGAAGGTTTAAGACGTTGCTAGTAAAGCATCTTCTAGTTCGTTGTCCACTTCAGGAACACAGCCTACAGATCTCATGTGATTCACCATGCCATCCATAACACCAAAAATCTCAATCATTACAGGGTTTGACTTATCTTCTGCTTTAAATCTGTAAACCTTATTCTGAATCTCAATCCAACTATATCCAGGAGCAGTCTTCAGCCCTTTGTCTTTCATCATCTTCCTCAATCTCGCAGCGTCGTCCAAGTACCCTGCTCTTGCATACAGATTAGCCAACTGCAAGTGCGTCGAAGCACAATCGGGTTGCAGTAACAATCTACTCTCTGCTGCCTTCAGTCCTATCCAGACATTCCCATGAAGCCTGCAAGCAGAGAGAAGCGATCCCCAAACAATAGAATTTGGAGATATGGGCATATTCTCAATGAGGTTTTGAGCCTCTTTTAGTAGCCCAGCTCGGCCAAGCAGATCGATAACACACGAATAATGATCCAACTCCGGTTTCAAACCAAGCTCGACCATAAGATTGAAGTAATATCTACCCTCTTCCACAAGCCCCCCATGTCTACACGAGGACAGGACACCAAGAAAAGTGATGCCATCGGCTTCCACTTGCTGCTGCTTCCTCATTGCTTTAAAAAGATCAATGGCTTGCAGAGAAAGCCCATGCTGGGCATAGCCAGCAATGATGGAATTCCAAGAAACAGTGTCTTTAACTTCCATGGCTTCAAACAAGTATACTGCAAAGTTAAGAGCTCCACATTTACAGTACATTGAGATCAGAGCATTTGCAATATGAACATGAGAATCAAAGCCCATTTTGAATGTTTGGCAATGGAGGCTTCTTCCAACTCCAAGGGCTCCACTGCCAGTGCAAGCGCTCAATATGGTGGCAAAAGTAAACTCATTGGGCTGTAATGCCATTCTTCTCATCCGTTGGAAAAGCTCCAAGCACATATCAACTTGCCATTCTTGAGCAAACCCAGCAATGATGGCTGTCCATGACACAACATTTCTCACAGGCATTTCATCAAACACTTGACATGCGTCATTCATCTCCCAACACTTCCCATATAAACTTACCAGCGAACTTCCTACATACACATTGGCAATAAACCCAGTTCGTATTGCCACAGAATGATACTGAATACCACCACGACGATTGCGCTGAGAACAGCACAAACTCAAAGCGCTGGATATATCGTTCGCATCAAATTCAAATCTCCCTGCGAACAACTGAAAACCCCAGTGACCAGATTCACGTTCTTGATCACGAACACTGGAGGAATCCTTGGATAAAAAAACTGAATCAGAATCAAAACCATCGGAAAGGGTTTGAGATCGACATTGATCGGAATCTGTTCGTAAAAAGTCCTTGATGAGGCGAAGATGGGTTTGGCGACTTTCAGAGGCGGCATTTCCCTTGGGAGAAATGAGATCCAGAAGTCTAGGAGGTTTAGGTAAATTTGTGGTCGGACGGGTGTTGCGTTTGAAGTAAGAGAAAAGCCTAATGGAGGTTACTATATGGAACCCATGCCTACAAAGAAGTGCAGAAGATGCAGATATCACGAAGAGCATATGAAGAAGACGAACTGTCATTCAAAATTACCTCTTTTTTGAAATAGTATCAATTTTTTCTTAAAGAGCTCTAATTGAGCAAAAAAATGTCGCATATTAAAGGGGTTGGGAAAGTTTTAGCTTATAAGATTGCTTTTTTTTTTTTTTTAATTATTTTCAACTTATTTTTTCGCTCAGGTTTTTTAAAACATTTTTCGCAAACATAACTCGAAACTCAAGCATACGCTAACGTTGTCCATGAGATTCGAATCCTCGAGTCATACGCTAACATTGTCCACGAATGTGGTGTCTTGATATGATAACCCTTCAACTCTGAATGTGGTGTCCACTGATTGGGTCTTGAATTAGGGAATCGAATTTTGAAAAGGAGGAAGATACTTTGTATATGGACTCACAAACATATCTGAGTACTCTCGATAAGCTCTAGCATGTAATAGGTTATCCCGTCTCCCGATTGTCTCTATGAAACAATTGAAAGACACACTAACATTGTCCACGAATTCTAAATTTCTCACGGCTGATTTGTTCGCTGAGTAAGAATAAGTGTTGTACAATCGTTTTCCCACTACCACAAGAGCGCAATTGTGACCTGTGCTCAAACCATAATTATGTTCAAATTTCAATTTTTATTCTAAATCATCACCACACCATCTCATATCCTAATTTTCATTGAACATTTTAACAAATTTATACTATAACAATGATTTTAAAATTTATACAATAACGATGATTTTAAAAAGTTTTTAAAAGATGACGGGTAATATTATGACTTGACCAGTAATACTATTACTTAGAAAAGAATAAAAGAAAAGGCGGATTTGACAGGTTAACGAGGTTAAAAGGAGGAAAAAACCCCAGGGATGACAGGTTATTTTTGCACCTCTCTAGACTCTCTTCCTCTCTTCAAGTTGATAATAAATTGGATGAATAAAGATTAGCCATAAAGAACACTAACACTACCTGCTGAGCAAGAAAGAGTGCCAAGAACACTTGGTTCCACCCATTTACTAAGCAAAACAGGGCCAAATTGTGCTTAGCCACTCGCTAATGGGCTAAAAAGAAGCAAAACAACTCAGCCTGCAGGCTCTGTAGGTGACACAACTATACTTTCCACGCTCTTCTTCCTCCTGCCTTCCATTTCTTTGGGATCGCCCCGTCTGTTTCCAGTCTTGTTCTTCCTGTTCTTCTGGGCCTTCCTGTTTCTCTTCAGAGTTTTCAATGCTAATGCTTTCAATGGAACTGTAATGTCCATGGGCAAAAGCACCTGTTCGAGTCCATGCCAATCGAGATCTTCGAAGTCTCCGTCTTCATACTCCACTCTGTACCATCCCGTATCTTTGTCGAACTCGATTATGACGCCGTAGTAATACCGATCGCCAAACATTTTGTTTACAACTCTACCTTCTAACCACTCACCAAAACCTGTACTTCCGACTAGTTTTTCATTATTCAGAGAATCACAAAGAGGAAGGGCAGTGTCACAAGCAACTATATCAGGCAACCCGTTAATTACTATAGCAGGCTCTCCTGGTAGTTTGTACACATTGGAAAATGAAGGTTCAGAATCATGTTCTTTTCTGGGTATCTCCATTTAAACAACCTTAACCTTGAGCTTGCAGCAAACACACAGTCCTATGAAGAAGCCAAAACAGTTTCAGGTTACTTAAAAGCGTATATAACCAAAATTGATGTATTGTTGATTGGATCAGAGTGTCAGAACGAACACCAGCTAAAAGTGAAAGTGAATTCAGCAACATACATGGAGCAGAAAAAAAAAAAGAAAGAACAGAAAATGAAAAGCCATCACTCCTGAGACATGTTTTTGTTCATTTGTTTATTTAAGACCATATCTCTGATTGTACTATATTCAATAATAAACATGTGAATCCTACTTTAGTTGTCATGGATTAGCCCTTCCATCAATAACATTCAACATCAATAGAACATCAATGGATCAATAGATCAGTGTGAGATCGTACAATGGTTAGAGAGGGAAACGAAACATTCCTTGTAAGGGTGTAGAAATCTCTCCCTAGCCATTGTGCTTTAAAACCGTGAGGCTGACGGCGATACGTAACGAGTCAGAACGGACAATGTCTGCTAGCGGTGGGTCTTGACTATTACAAATGGTATCAAATCCAGTCACCGAGCATGTGTTAACGAGGATGCTGGCCCCCAAGGGCTAAATTGTGACACCGGGCATTGTGTTAGCGAGGATGCTGGCCCCCAAGGGCTAAATTGTGAGATCCCACATCGGTTGGTGAGGGGAACAAAACATTCCTTATTAGGGTGTGGAAACCTCTTCCTAGTAGATGAGTTTTAAAACTGTGAGGTTGATGGTGATACGTAACGGGCCGAAACGAACAATATCTACTAGTGGTGGGTCTGGGCTATAACCAATGGTATCAGAGCCAGTCACCGGGCAGTGTCTTAGCAAGGACATTGGCCCCCATGGGGTGGATTGTGAGATCCCACATCGGTTGGAGAGAGGGAACAAAACATTCCTTATAAGGGTGTGGAAACCTCTCCCTAATAGACGCATTTTAAAACCGTGAGGCTGACGGCAAAACATATCGGGCCAAAGCAGACAATATCTATTAGTGGTGGACTTAGCTAGTTTTTTTTTTCTTTTTTTGTAAGAGATGCAAAATAAATTATATACCACACAAGAAATAATTGACAAAAACCAGAGGTTTCAGGCAAAATCAAACATCAGAAATCAAAATTCACTTGAAATTTTATCACCTTCAAGACCAACCATTCATTTTCAACCTTGAACCCTACATACGCACATACACATACAACTCATGTGGAGAATACATAGAAATTTACTGTTTCTTGATTATAAACAATACGTTATAGTGCTCAAAGATGGAAATATCTGAACTTAGAAAATTGGATTATCTGCCCAAAAACAAACCAAAGCTAACATATCTTGTTAATCAACGAAGATGGATGAGGAATTGTACTCGTGCTTTCTCGACATTCAGAAACAATTCAATATAGAAAGGCACATATTCCCGCAATCTATTAGGTTCAAAATTGACAGATTCACGGCATCCTCTGCCTAAAAAGGTATGCCGTGGGAACTCCATCAAGTTTGAGACGCAGAATCAGATTTCAAAATTTCAAAAGTCGTGACATTTGAAACTAGAAACAAACAAACAAGATTTTGGCTGCGCTCTCACCGATAAGTGATAAATTGGGAGGAAGATTCTTATAAATAGACACCTGAGAATCAAATTTCCTCGATCTTCATACAATTTTCAACTCCAATGAGACAATCAAAGACCTAAACCAATATTTAAATGCTTGTAACAGAGGAAACTCAAACTATAGCTCTATTTACGTTGCTCTGATTGAACGAGAGATTTCTTTTATTCCAAATCAGGATTTCGCTTGGTCAAAACCCTCGATTAATTGTACAAAAGAAAGAAAAGAACTATCCATTCGATTTCCAGATGAAATTATTCCTCCGCTAAAATTGAGACGGCATGAAGTACAGATTATGAAGTTGAATACGTAAAATGAATTCGCTAAAAAATACCTGTGAAAACTATTGGTTCATTGACGATCATCAGTTGCTCGAACTCTTCTCCTCGTCATCGACTTCTTCAAAAACAACGATTTTACATAAATTCCAAGCGTTTTTCTTTTCTCGAAATAATGTATAATCCGTATTTCATGGCGGCTTATCTTTCAGCTTTATAAATTGAAAAAAAAAAAATCAAAATTAAATCATATTCATATAATAATTTTATCAAATAAAATTATAAGCTAAAATAAATACTACAATTTTAACCCAAAAAATCGTACATAAATTTTTTTAATATATTCATTAATTTCAATAAAAATATCAGAGGATTAACAATAAAAGAAGTTTTTTTTTTTTTTTCAATATTTGAAGGGAAACTTATTAAAGATTTAAATTGCAATACTTTTTAATGTTTAAAATGATTACAGCAATTTATTGAAATTGAAAATTTAGAATAAAACACTATTTTAAATGAACTTCCAACCTCATGATGGTTTCTTCATTCTAAACCATTAGTATTTTAAATGATGAAAAATTAAAAAGTAAAAAAATTTAGAATTATAAAGATGGGTTTAAGTTATGATTGACTAACTAAGTAACGATTCGTTCTAGAAGATAAGAACTCTTAAACGGATGTGAACCAAAGTTTCTTAATTGTCCAGTCTTAATTGAGTACCATATCCGAAAGAATGGCTTAGGATTTCTATTACATGTAACAATAAAATATTAACAAAAGATTATATTTATAGAAATTTAAACAACAAAATAAAACATTTCAATATATGTATATGTGTATATATATAGATATACAAAAAATAAAAATAAAAAATAAATAGAATCATGTATATGAATCCATTCTTAAAGAAATGGGTTCGAAACTAGAAAGTGGAGCCATTTTGGGAAAGTAAATATAATGACAAAATGTTGAATTGTTGCATTTCTTTTTTTTAAGTTCACATAATTGAAGATAATTGCTACGTATGCCCTACCAATGGCATGCCTTCAAAGTTCAAAGCATGCCACTCCCACTTTTTTTTTTTCTTAAAAAATTTATCTTTTAGGTTTTTTAACTTTTAAAAACTCAACCCGACTATTCAACTCAAATCATAAAAGTTAAATTGAGTTAGATTTTCTTTTGTTAAATTTTTAAAAAACCGTAAATCGAGTTAGTTTACATTTTTTTTTTTGTCGAGTCTACCCAAAAAGCTCGAAAACAGTGCTAGAACCTAACCCTACCCTGCTTTTAAGATTTTATAAAAATTAAGAATATTTACATTTTCCAAACCATATATAACGTAACATGTATAGCAGATAAGTAGAATTTTCTAAAGTAATTAAAAAGAAAACAACTCGACAACTCAACTAAAAAACAGTGTTAGATTGAGTTATGTTGTGAACTTCATTCGAATTGCTCAAGCCACCAACCCGAAATTTTGGTTGATCCAAAAGGTTTCACCAACTCAACCGGTACAATTTCAAAATTAATATAGTTGGAAGTATATAAAAAAAAAAAGATGACTCTTTTATTCATTACAGCATAAAGAATAAAGAATCTATAACCTATTAGGGTAAGTATAGACTACACATTATTTAATTTAAAGGGCACAGAACCCTAAGCCCTTTCATCCACAAGGTTCCTTTTCTTTCAATAAATTAACAAACTATCATCCAATTAAACTAAACATAGAAGAGAAAGAAAGCTTAATAGTCTTTAATTTAGAAAATTAAGGATGGGTGGGTTCTAAATAGTTTGAACAAATATGACCTCCAATCTTTGCAAACTTCATACACTGGATTTGATTAACATAATCATAATTTGTAAGCAGTTTTTGCTTCACAAGAAACCCAGAAAGCTTGTGCAAACAGTAAAAAGTTAGCATTATTTTAGAAATTCTGTTTTCCATCAACCACCACCAAACAAATTCTTTGTCATGTATAGTAAATTTATGAGTCTAGACAGGAATTGCACAATAATAAATAAAGGGAGGGTTCAATTTTAGGAACTAGAAAGGGATGAACAACTGTCACGAAGGCATTGGGTATGGTTAATAATAAGAAAGAGGCCAAGGCTCTGGGTTTTGTGACACTGACTACAGCATCTTGGTTTCTGAACTATCATCGAATCTCCACTCCAAGAACGAGACGAGTGATTTAAATTTCCTAAAACCCTTCTCTCCCCAGATTTCTATTTCATTTCTGAGTGCAATTTCACTCGTTTTAAGCTGAGGGATTGCTATGATGGTGAATGTAGCAGATTGCTGGAGTTTTCTGCACTGAGAGGCAAAGAAAATGATGGCTACTTGCAAAGAAAACAGACAATGAAATGGATTTGGTTGCTTGCAGTGGAAAGAAAATGAAAGTTGGGAAGGGTTTGAAAACTTTGGATTGCTTAAGGGGAAGATTGCTTGCAGAAAGACAAGCTTCAAGATCAGCCAAAGAAGAGGCTCAGCTTATGGGGGAAAAGGTAATGTTCTTCACCATTGTTCACATTCTGCATTTCTTTTTCCAATGTGTGATTTTCACGAGGTTTTTTCTGGTGTTCTGAAGTTGATAGAGTTGGAGAATCAGATTAGAAAGGAGACAGAGCTGAGGAACAAAGCTGAGAAGAGGCTTAAACTCTTGATAAAGAAGCTTGAATCCTTCAACATTGCCTCCTCAACATCATTAGTAGCCTCAGAAATTTGGACAAATTTCTCAGCCTTAAAGGAAACAGAAAACCAAGAATCAAGATCAGAGAATGTGGAATCAACGATCTCGAAAAATCAATGCGAGAAAGTTCCAGAAATCGCCACATCCAAACAGCGCGATGAGAAAGAACCTAATCAGAATACTCCAGATCGAGCAAATTCAAGCCCTAACTCCGAATCTCGCAACAATTCCTGCACCGATCCCCGCCGATCTTCTCAAATCCCTCAAAGAAAAGATCAGAGGTACTAAAATTCCCGCTCCCGCTCCCCCTCAAACTCGCAAAACTTCACCATTTACATATGAATTAACCTAAGCACCGCCCTAATTACGATTACAATTGTTTCAAGCTTTTCAGGATAAGTAAAGGAGAAAGAGAACAAGCATTACACTGATAATTTGATAGCATCTGTTCCCGGAGCGACGCCGGCGGCGAACTCAAAGACGGGGGCGATGAAGATGAAAGCAATCCACGAGAGGGCAACAGAAGTTCATGATGCTCCAAAGCACATAGAGGAAATGTCCAGAACTCATTTAAATTATAGAAATTAGATGGAAACGCAGTGTCTCTCTATATGAAGAAAGAACGAAACCCAAAAATATTTAGAAAAACAAAGGTTTGAGAGCTTTTTGGCTAACAAAATCTTTTTCAACAAAGAATTCACAAAGTTCTATTTATTTTATTATATTTAATTTTTAATTTTTAAAATATGACATTTATAATTAATTTTTTCAATTGAATTATCGTACTAATTATTCATAAATTTATTTAAATCATTTGAGAATAATGGCTAAATATACTCTAAACTCTAAAATTTAAGTCATATTATTTATAAATGAAAAGAAATTAAATCAAATGAAGTTTATATAAATTTTATAATATACTTATCTCATCTAATATTATTTACTCTACAAATACAATATTTAATTATATAAATATATATTAAATATTTATAATTTAAATTTTATTATAATTTAAATTTTATTAAACTTAGCACACACCGCTAGCAAAATTTTGTTGTCAAATGTTGTGCTAAATACCACTTGTCATAATCGCACTTTTGATGATAGCGAACTTGCGATTATGCGGCACTCACTCTCCAACCACAAGAGTGAGCTAAGTTAATTCGTTCTTACGTCGCCTACGTTCAAGCAATGTATGCTCGAGCCTTTGGCCTCAATTTAAGAAGAAGGTTTTCGAAAACGAGGACAGAGAGAGATTTTCGAAAGAGGTATTATATATGCAAGCAAGAGAGTAACAACACTAGCTCACAATATATAACTATTGGTAGTACACGATTTACCTTAAATCAAATGATGGGTCGCTGGTAAGTCACTTGAGGGCATGGGAAATGATTTAGCTGAAGTTGTGGTCTACAACCACCATTGAAGTATTACATCATTTATAACAATTTAAAATTTAGAAACAAAACCGAAGAAATCACATGAAAGCAGAGAACATAAATTATTCTATTTTATATATATATATATATATATATGGTAAAGGGATTAATATTTTTATAAGCAGTGTTACTTATAACAAAATGAATATTTTAAAACTATAGAGTTAGTCGCGACATTAAGATGCTTTCTATTTTGATCCTTCAACTTTGATCGAACTATATGATTCAATATATTAAGATTACCAAGATAATGTGTCTGGTACGATAGCAGATGGGTACCTGTCTTTTAAATATGACAACAATCAAATTTCAGAATTTCTGAAAAGCTTGGATCACAGTAAAAAGTACAATGACATGAACCATACTTCTCATCCTATCTTAATATCAACCAAAACTCATAACCAACAAAAAGAGGCAAGAAAATATTGATATGACATTGATCTACGAGTAAGATTTGTGTTTATTTTGTCATTGAACTTCCGAGAGTGTATAATAGTTCCTAAACTTTCATTTTTTGTATCTAACCGATCTACTTTGTATCTAATAAATTACTAACAAATTAAAATAGATCAAATCTTGAATTTTATATCTAATGGAACTCAAAATTATCGATTTTGTGTCCTAGTAAATCTATGAAGTTGAAAAAAATTCAAAAGCTTGAGAACTAAATGCATAATTTTGAAAGTTAATGACCAAATGGATAGAGAGAAGCTAAGAAACACAAACATACCAGGTTGATGTTCTCCTCCACAAAGCTTGAGCAGCATGCCCAAGAACATAACCATCTACAAGATGAGATTTCTAAACATGCAGTAAATAGGATGATCCATTGACAAAAATACAACTTGCACGGGCTGATCAAGCAAGGAGAAAAAAATATGTATCTATCTAAAAAGAACTTTTGATCAAAAGATTGATTCCCTCGATAAATGTGTGCGGCCATTCCATACCATTACATCCAACCAAAAATCCAAAAGAAACTAAATACACGTAGCTGCTGACTAGCTATGCAAATAAAGATAAAAGGAAACGAAGGAAGAAACAACAGAAACTTGACAGAGACACCTATTTTTAGAGTACACAATCCATTCTCAGCTACAGGCCTCAATACATGCAGAGACTTCTAAGAGGGCCACAACAAATACCTCCAAAAACTCGGTCCATCCTATATTACACCAAGCAAGAATATCAGAAACTTCCAAGTTAGAAGAGGGAATTCAGCTTCTCCCACACGACAACTTACCAAGGGAATAGATAATTACTTCCCCTCCCAAGACTTATCTTCAGTTTATTCTCACACAAGCTGGAGCTGTTATCTCATGATGACATTTTGAACGGCATTTCTAAATAAGATTCAACATATGACCATTCTAATTGAACTATTCTTCAGGTCATACTAAAACTAGGCATCTAAAAAGTGTAGAAGTCATTTCCATGATGAGTTATTATCACTGATGCCATGAGATGAGATGTGGTGGCATCATACAAAGAAACCAAACCTCAATCGTAAATGATTGGATAATAACTAGCTGCACTCAGACTCTTGATCTGCTTCTGAAAAAGAAAAGTCAAAAGATACGTGCGAGTTTCCTACCATTGAGACTTGGCCATTAATCTTACATTATTACAGTCAGCAAAAAGAAAAACCTACCATTAAAAAGAAACAACCTAAAATCCAAACTAAATTATAACTATAAAACTAAAAACCTGATGATATTAACTCAAAGTAAAGCAAGAAACTGTTAGCTTTCTAATCCCAAAGGCGAATTCGACAAAATTAGTAAATTTCAACCAGTGAGTATCAGATGGAAACAATGCACATGGAAACCTAGCACTGCCGTTCAAATGGTATCATGAACATCCAACTTGCCATCACAAGGGAGATATAAACTGAAGATGATAACCAGAACATTGGAGGGATAAAAAATTCAGAGATTTCTGATATTCTTAACAAACTGTAAGATAGGCTTGACCTAGGGAGGTATTTTCTATTACTATAACACCTAACCAGAGAATTAATAACCTGACAACTGAATCTAGGGAACCTCGTCTCAGAGCAACATGGAGCAAAGCACCTTGCAGTATTGATTCTGCCCTCAGAATGGAAGACTTTTGAACTAGATAATAATATAAAGGAATGAACATGGGTATGGAAGCCATTACGGGGAATTATAACCAGCTATTAGACCTGCCAGAGAAAGAAATAATTCATCAGATTAAATAGCAGAGATATAATAAGAAAAGGCATAACAAGAAACACTAGATTTGGATAAGATGTAACGTTCTGGAGGCCAAATGCCAATCAGACTTAGAAAGGAAACACGAACCAACAGAAGAAAATTACAAGCAAAAGCTATCTTGCCATCAACAGGGAATGTTCTTTTCAGGCACCACCTCCAGCCTTGCCTGCAATATCTGCAATCTGATTACAGACAATGGGAATCATTAATGGGAACAAGAGCACTGGAAAAAAGTACACACTTCTGTTTCCTAAATTCTACAAGAAAACAAAATAAGAATAAAAGGATAACATTACCGTCTCAATGTTTCCCTTCCCATCCACTTGTGTGAGGGAGTTTGATGTTGGATTAGAAAACCTTCACCCAGAAAATAAAGGGAAAAACAAACAATATGTTAGATGCATTCTAATATTTGCAGACTCCATATAAGATTTCCACTAACCACAGACGATGGAACTGGAAATATTAGCTACAACCAGGGGAACAGAAAAATACGCCCACTACCTGATTGCCCTTGCTTTCCTCTTTTCTTCCTCCTGGGAGTCTGGCTTTGATGTTGAAGAAAACCTACCAAGTCGAGCTTTCTTCTTTGCCTCATCATCAGTGGCCACAGATGCAGGAAGCCCAAATCTAAATAATCAAAAAATTGGCAAAAGTTTGAAAGAAAGTTTGAGTAAAAGACAATAAATACAATTTCTTTGACAGGATGAGCTATCAATCCATAAAGAAATGGAAACTACCTCTCAGCTCTAGCCTTTCTCTTCACCTCCTCTGACTTATTTGATGCTCCCAATCCATTAGTTGTGGTGCCCATACCAAACCTGCAATCGTCCCCAGAAATCAACATTAAAATATTTTACAGAAAAATAATAGAGAAACATAACTCTGAACAGAACTTGGATAAAGAAAGGAAACGGTGAATATTTTAATTATAGAAACGAGAAGACAGAACACCGATATGAGCCCAACAAATGAATTAATTCCCACACAACGTCTCCATTTTTCAACTTATCTTCAAAGATTTTAGCAGCTCTTTCCAACCAAACTCGCCACAGAACACTATAGACAAAACCACGAGGCTTTCATAATTAAGAAAGTGCAAAAGCACATCTGCTTTGAGCCATGAGGTGCGCAATTAGGGAAGCCCCGAGACAGATTGAAAGGGCATAACAAATGGCTCCACATTTCACTTGAGAAGGGATAGAAGAAAGAAAAGCCTGCAACTTTCTTCTTTCTTTTTACACAGACGCAACACTGAATCGATGATATTTGACGCGCATCAATCAATAAGCCACTGTTGTAATCATTTTGGATTTCAAACTTACACCATTCCGATTGGAATTTCAAGCCATTACCAGAACATAAACAATTAGATTGGGCGTTAAAACCGATACAATGGACTAATATAACAATACAGTGTTGGTATACTCCTGAAAATCATAATCTACAAGTTCCAAACGACCTCATAAGTGCATGAGCAAACCATCAGTCTAACCTGTGCCGGGAGATAATTGAACTTTTGAGTTCGTTAAAATCCCTACTGAGGCAGTTTATGATAAAGTAACGTAATATTTATACCAGTGACTTTTCCCTACATTTGTCTATAAAATGAGAGAAAAATAAATAGTTTCAAAGAAATCATAGCAAAATAACTATGAAGAAGGGCATGATCTCACAAAATAAGTGGATTCAAATACGCAGCATCACAAGGACGAGCACAGGCGTGAGGCGGAGACCGCAAACTGATAAATAAACTTACCGTTCTGCTCGAGAATTACGTTTTTCTTCTTCAGACAATTGCACCGAAATCCCAAAACGCTCAGCGCGGCGCATTTTCCTCTGGACATCAGAAACAGGTTCGCCATCACCTTCAACCGACGTCTTATCGGAGCCCTTAGATTCATCCCCTTCCTTGGAAGACCCGCCATCAGTTGACGACAGCGGAACAGAGACAGGAGGCTGGGCCGAGGAAGAAATCGTCGGGTCTAGGGTTTGACTAGGGTTTTCTCCAAGCGGATTCTTGCTATTACTAATGTCATTGATTCCAGCAGATGCTACCGTCGCCATTAGAGGAGCAGATTTGAGAACCGAAACCTAATCGGAGGCTGCTTGCGAACCACGAACGCAACAAGGGGAATTGCCGCGTGAAGGAGGGAGCACAGGTTTCTATTCGTTTTTTCAGTCCGGTCAGATATTTCACATCGTGGATGAGAAGGGCAGGGTCAATAATGTAAATTCGCGTCAAAATATATCTCCGGTTCTCATGTACACGTGCTCAGTTTTCATTGGGTCTACTCTATTTACCAATCCATTATTTATTACGTAATAAAGGTAAATATATATATATATATTTTTTTTTTTTTTAAATAATTTTTATAACAAATTTTAAAGTTTAATGATTAAACTAAATACTTTTCGTTAAAATAAATTAACTTAAATAAAATAAAATTAAAGTAGTGAGTCTTTTGCTATATTTAGACCCACCAGAAATTACTTGAAATTACCGTTTAAAATATATACTAAGATTCTACCCAGTGCTAACTCTGACAGATCTTCACTATTTTTACGTCTTCGAAATTTACAACTTTTTTGTTTGAAATTTACTAATTTTTTGTTTGATACCTAAGTTATGTTAGGATTATATCTTCGAAGATTTTATTGACATGACTAAGTTAAAATAAGGATATGGTTCTAATACAACTTGATAGGAATTATAGATCTCCATAATTGAACATAAATTCTCATAGTTTTGTTTTTTAGTTTTTTTTCAAAAAGTCTCATATCAACTGAGATGATGTTCCTTATTTATATATCAATGATCATATTTATATACCAATGATCTTCCTCTTAGTTAACTCAATGTGGGACTCGAACACAATAGTCTTTCGACCAACAATCATACTTCTAGGAACAGCCACTCTGTGGTAACTTTCTCTTCTTGCAGTAAACCTGCTTCTAGCTGCTATACTTCTCGATATTCATTATTTTAGGTTGGTGTGTTCATGAACTAAGCCTATATTATAAACATCCACTAAAGGGAATTTGGGTGGGTTTACTTTCTAGTCAGCCAAAGTATGCCTTTTTACAAACTCATTAAAGAGGGAAAGTACCAAGACGAACAGCGTCAAGGTAATGCCCGTCTCAAATGCAAAGGGGCAAATAAGGAACCTCGAAACCTCGGAACCTTGTGGGGTTAGGAGTAAAGCGTCCCAAGGTCCTCCATATTTTCAATCTCTCACTAGTCTTCTATCGGCATTGTTTTAGGATTTCTTTGGTGAGTACTTCTATCGATTCGAAGTTTCAAATATGCTATGACCTATACATATGCATTTTAAAATCGGAGGACTCAGAGCTCTCTCTTCAAGCAGGATTCCATGTCTCAACTGAGGCATCTCTTGGATTTGTCGCAATAAGTACGAGCACTGAAGTCCTGTTGAGTCTACTGAAGAAAATACAGGATATTGGACTTTAATTGAAGCAAGTAATTCTGAGAGATGCACATGCACCTTAGCATTAAAGGGTCTGCAAAGGCTAAACCAAAATTGGTCACATCGAATCAAATAAAGTTGATTTTGATTTGAGTTTTTCCTTCTTCGTACCTAAATGGGCCCCAACCATTTATCAATAGTTTGGCCTGGTTTATCAGATTTTCTGATCTAAACAAAACAAAACTGAATCTATTTAAGTTTAGCAGTGCCATAGGAGCTCAAGCTATCTACTACCAAATGGGAATTCAAAAAAGGAAAAAAGATTGCACAACGAACTGGTGTGAAGTAAACAAATTAGATACACGCTAAAAGAACAGAGAAGAAACCAGAATTGACATACAAAATAACTCGTGCAGTATTGACCTGTGTAGAGAGCAGAAATTATACGACGTTCAGCTGTTAACGTTCGTCGATCGCATACTTGCACAACTAGGCTGGTCGTTCGTTCAACGTTTGCACTTGCTGTGCCAGTGCCAGAGTACACAAATGAAAGTTACCCTATGTTCAAAAAATCAAACCACTGCATGTAAGCCATCTATCAAAGAGCAGTACTGTGAGAGTTCATACTTGTACAGAAGGGATAGAAATAAGACAGAAGATGCAACTGTGAATGATACACACAATGTGTCCAAACACAAACTAAAAAAGAGTTCTCTGATGCAGAAAGGCAGAAGCCTCCTTGGATTAGAAGTCCAGTAGCCACTGGCAATAGAGTCCAGTTCAGCTTTGTCGGTCTAATTTAGCATTGTTAAGTAAAAACATCATTTTCTGTCTAAAATGGTACACTCTAACTTATCTATTTTCCCACATGCACATGGATACATCTGATTAAGAAAACCAGATCATCTTTTTTTTCTTTTTTACCAAAACAATGCAATGGCTTTAGCCATCTCCTGCATTGCTTGTGTTTTCGCTCGTGTTTTGTCGCACAAACTGTCCCCGGACACGAGGTCTCTGTTCTGCTAATCGCTTTCTGCTTTGGTATCGGACCTGTTAAAGAATATAGAAGCAACTAATAAGGCATAAATTTAGCAGAAGGACATAAGAACTCTAGTAAACAAGCCATCTTTTCTTTTCCCTAAAGATAAATCATAATTTAAACAGTAAGACACATAAGAAGACAGGCACAACAATAGGTGCAAGTAATTGAGTCGGCACAAAGTCTTATGAGAAAGTCTCACATGGCTCTACAATGGAACAGAAGGAAATCCAACATAAAAAAATTTCTTTTCAAAGGAAATCCCTTTCCTGGACGTCCTATCTAGCAAATATGAAATAAACCGGCCCCACAGGAAGGCACAGCTGATGCAATGTGCTTGAAGGAAGTCTTATCCCCCCATCTAGCAAATATGCAATTAGTTTCTTCAACTTCGTTTGAAGTACAGAATATTTAATCACTTCTATCACATGTAAATATGATAAACCGAAATAAACTTCTGATGTGAAGTTGAAATGTAATGCATGTGCAGATAAGCATATATGGATTATATATATAGATTTATCCCTGTGCGTATAAATGCAGTATTCGTTCATGGCTCCATTTCTATATCTGTGCTTCTCAATGACTCAGACTCTTGGTAAAGACATCACAGCAAGAGAGAATTCCTCTCCTCAAAGTACCTGTAGCTACGCCAAAAGCAGCCTCTCGGTGAAATTTGATACAAGCTGGAGTTTAATGTTCAGCAGTGAAATATGATACCAACAGAAATTTGATGGGGGGAGGGATGGAGGAGCTTAGATTGGATATAGAAAGACCCCACAAATATGGATCACCATGCTTTACGTGTACAATTTCAGCACAACAAAAGGACAGGACGAGGGATCACAAAATAGACATAAGGCATTGGACTAAAAGAAGGATCAAATAACATTACCTTTTTACGGAAGCATCTTTCCTTCCTTTTCTGGCGAAACTTAGTCAGGGCAGCTTCCCTTTGTGAAACTTTGCTTAGGTCCACTTTGTTCCCGCTTCCATTTCCACTCCCACTTCCACTTCCACTGGCATCTCCACTTCGGCTTTTCTGACCTATTCCATTATCACTTTCCATATTCAGCCCTCCAGCATTTACTGCATTGCAGCTCCCATTTTGGCCATTGCTTCCATGGTTACTGCCCGAGGCGCTACCGTTCACACTATAATTAGCCGCATTACCTTCTACATGGCCATTTAACACATTGGTTGACCCACAATGCGCGATAGCTGCAGATGTTTTCTTTAAGGAATAATCATTATGGTCAGATGACACTCGTTGCACATTGTGGACAAACTGATGAGTGGGATCATACGGGTGACAAGGTTGCTGCATCTGAGATTCCCTGTGCACAAAATTAGACTGAGCTTGCATTGCTGTAGTTGTAACATTAATGACGTTATCAGCTTTCTGAGGAACGGATAGACTGTCATTCTTAACAGGTTGGAAAGCTGCCGATGGGTGTAAACAGTTGACAGTTGATGCCATTGCTGACTTGTTATTAATAACTATGGACTTGGAAAATGCATTATTGGTAGTGGACCCCATGTCGATATTATTGCTATCTCCATTTGAACATTGATTGGGAGGGTTACCACTTGAATGAGAACGAATATCTTGCATGTTCTCTTGATTTGTAACTTCTCTGCCATTGACAGGTGGAGAGCTACTTCCGGCATTCCCAGTTGGAGTCTTGTTAGAATTCGAGCCAGCATTGTACCTGTGATTATATGGATAGTGAACCATATTGGTCAGATAGGAATTGCCTTATCATTTCGAAACGATATTAGGAAGGATGGACCATTTTCTCACATACCTAGAAAATGCTGAAGAATCTGAGCGTCTCAAAACATTCCGCTCATCTTGGACAGCTTTCCCTGTCGCTTGAACTCCTCTAAGCCTTTTTAATCCAAGCTCAAGGCATGGAAAATCTTCTGAATCTGTAACACTTTTATTCTTAATATCTGTAGTCTTGGGATGGTTGCTCGGCACCTCAAACACAGTGACATCCATCTTAGAATCAGTAAGATTAGTAGCAAGACCAGTAACAGTTGTTTCCTCGCACTTAAGTTTGCTGCATGGGCTATCAGAGTTGAGGTCAAGATCTGCTTTGTTGAACTGCTCATTGAATCCACTGGACCCGATCTCAAGCATAATGTTCTGTTTCCTGTTAATTAGCTTGGTTGGATGTTCCGTAGAGAGTTCAAGTTGTAAATCTAAATCGCCGTGCACGCCTAATTCAACTTTACCAAGGTAACAGTATCAAAAAATACAAAAATATATTAGACGTATGATTAACAGTTCGTATAGTTCTCAGACAGTCGAATATTCAAAGGCATACCAAGTTGCTTTTTCTGCCCCTGGCACCCTGCTGTTAAAACAATTGGCACATTATTAGCAAATGCATCAGCATTTGAGTGGACAACTTGAGCACAAGTACTATCAGGACGTTCACGTTTTTTATTCCATGCTGATGCAGATACTGGTCGAGGGCTTTCAACTTCTATAGCTTGCTTGGTCCAAGAACTCTGCAGAAAGAGAGTAGTACTAGTTACTGTTGGCTAGGGGATACTAAGATTTTTCGGAATTTGGAAAGATCTTGGGTGGGAATTTAATTGCTGGCTAGGTCTACTGCTTCGAACATCCAAGAACTTTTGTAATTACCCATTTGGAGCTCCATTTTAAGTAGCATGTTGTTTGACTCCTTTAGTTTGGACTGTTTTT